TATTTCTTTGCACGTGGTACATACCTAAGAACAAAACTTGTTGCATACGATAGGCCCATCTCTTCTGTATCCATCAGTGAAAACCGCATGTCGCTGCGACTTACGGTTACCGAGATATAAGCTCGGGAAAGGAGCGCTGCAGGCCCGATTTTCGCCCGTTGGCGGTTTTCGCCGGCCACGTGTTAAGCCTATGGGAGCACCCTTTTGCACGTGCCGACGGCGCACCCCTGGGCCGATCACCCCCAAATTTTAATACAAAGGCCGCCCACGCCCACAGATTCGGCATGCCAAATTTCAAGTCGCTACGCCGCGCCGTTCTCGCGCAATTAGACATAATAGGCATGACACACGGATGGATGGAGATCGTACAGACAACTTATAAATCATAATATAGACTAGATGGCATATTTTGCGCTATAACTGTGCGTTTTGATAGATGCATTTGATGGGGCATTAGTTTGGGTGTGGGAACTTGTGATTTTTATTTGTCTTATTTTGTCAGAGTTGGATATTTTTTTGAACGGCATGTTATGCCGGTGCTGGTTGTTGGTTGTTAGAGCCTTTCTCATGGTTTGCCTTTAACGAACTCAAAGCTACCCTAACCTAACCTACCCATACCCTACCTTACTAATAACTGACACATAGTTACCCTTCTCATACTCGATTAAAGTAATGTACCAAATTTGAGCGCAATCGGCCCAGCCGTTCTTGATATATAAAAGCGGCCCGCTGCACGTGCGCACGCGCTAACTGAGACTCCAGATGACTTGTGCCAGCCGCCTTTCTAAATTGTCCCCAACAGTGAACAAAATTTGAGCGAAATCGGCCCAGCCGTTCTTGAGATGTATAAGTGGACCCCTCACGTGCGCACGTGCAATCGATCCACCCTACCTGTCACACATGACCATGCATCGCCAGGTGAGTGCCCCCTCCACCCACAGTCCAAGTTTCAGCGCAATCGGCCCAGTAGTAGCTGAGTTATTCCCAGTACAATAATGTGCTGTTTATTGGTAGGCGCTTATTTTCAGTGTTTGGAATTCCCCTTGGCGGGCGGTGCATTGCAGCCCATGCTTTGATAGCTATTGTCAAAAGTTGAATGACTTGCCGGCCATAAGCCATCGATCGGATTTTGTCGAAAAATACCTGTAACGTTAACAAATCACGGTCGTCTGTTTGAGTCATTTTCACAAAAGTTTATTGACTTTTCGATAATGTTTTGGGTGGATATTGGTCAGAAAAGAATGCTCTTTCCGAATATGTAGGTTTCTTAGCGATTGATCAGCGTTTTCAATACGTTTTGATGTTGTAAAGGACGTCGCGCTCCGCGCGAATCAAATTTTCAAATTAATTTTTCATTATTAAGGAAATGGTACGGAGCATCAGTTTTTGTTTGCTATTATCTGATTACACATACATTTATCTGCAAAATGATACAACTTCGATTTAATTCCGTCAAGCCGTTTTCCAGCGGCATCGATTTTCCCGTCACAATGCATGAAATCGGTCATTTTTTCACAACCGGGGGTGCTGTCTTGCACGTGGCGCGTGCTATACTATGCAACCATGTCAATACGCTAGGCCCATCTCTCCTCTATCCAGTGGTGGAAACCCCACCTCGCTACGGCAATCTGTCGCCGAGTTTTGGGCCCGGGAAGCGGGCGCCGCAGGCCGGTTTTCGCCCGATCTTCGATTTGACCGTTTCCCGTGTTAACCCTATGGCGCACGCGAGCGCGTGCTGACGGCGCACCCCTGGGCCGATCACCCCCAAATTTTAATACAAAGGCCGCCCACGCCCACAGATTCGACATGCCAAATTTCACGTCGCTACGCGGCGCCTTGCAGGCGCAATAAGACACATAAGTCATGACACACGGATGCACGTCGTACAGACAACTTATAATTCATAATATAGACTAGATGGCCATGTTTGCGCGATAACTGTATAGATTCGATAGATATTGTTAATGGGGGCATTAGTTTGGGTGTATGAGGTTATATTTTTATTTGTATGAGCTATGTGAAGTTTGACATTTGGTTTTAATTGAACTGTATGGTATGCTGGTGCTGATTACCGGGTTGTTTGAGTCTTTCGGATGTTGGGCCCTTATGCACTCAAATTTAACATACACTACAATACCCTGCCCTACCCAGGATGGATGGATGGATGAACGCGATAACTGTACGTTTCGATGGCTATTGTTCAATGGGGCCATTAGTTTGATGTATGAGGTAATATTTTTATTTGTATGAGTTAGGTGAAATTTGATTCTTTAAACTGTATGGTATGCTGGTGCTGATTACGGGTTGTTTGAGTCCTTCGCATGCTGGCCCCTTATGCACTCAACCTTACCATACGCTACACTGCCCTACCCTACCCAGAAGCTCTACTCAACACATACCAAACCATACTTTATTTCTTGCCTTACCCGTAAGACGCTGGTTGTATCAGTCACCATCGCGACTAAGAAGATGCTGTCGGAGAATCCAGCGCAGCGCTCGTGCGTCCTCTTGTCTTCCTCCGGGCTGACACTAAGCCATGCCGTGATAAGGAGTGGAAGCAGCTGCAGTGCGCAGGTGACAGCACATGACATGTTTCTGCAACGTAATCAAATCTAGTGAATACAACAGTGAAATACTTACGTGTCGCTCCGTGTGGCTATTAGCTTTTACCCCGCAACCCGCCGCGTGGAGGCTGCCACATCGGGTTGCGTCTCTATTTAACGCCCGAGACCCCTCACCGGGTGCAGAGCGCACACCTCTGGTGAGGGAAGACACGGCGGCCGTGGGCAGCGGCAATAAGGCCCCCCGAGAAGTACTCGGTGTGTGCTACTCGCAGCCGATCGTATAGCTGGAGGCAAACGCCCATTGTTAGATGTGATCTCAAATATCAAAATATATCATCAAATATCAAATATATCATCAGAGCATATCAAACATGTTTTATAACATGCCACTCGATACATTGATTTATCCTCAAAATATAAGTTGCGCTCGCGCATTGGAGGTCACCAAAGCCAGTTGCGGCATTATGTTAATGTGTAAATTTTCCACTTGGCGGCGCATTGGCTCGCCAGGATTGATCCGTCCTGCATCACGGTCGGCCGGCCGTTTTCTCCTCGTTGCTCCTCGCTCCTCCTCTCCACGTTGCTCGTAGCGCTCTGGCTACCCGTCGCCTCTGCGACCCGCTGATCTACCGGCCATCACCTCGGCCCATCACCTCCGTGTACACCACATTGGGTGTTGCGCCTTGGCCACCTCTGGGCAGCGCGATCCTCAGATCCGCCGGCCGGCCGACCCGCGATGCAGCCACGTACAGCTGCCCGTGGCTGAATACTGGCTCCTCCAGAAAGACCGCGACCCGACCGAGCGTCTGCCCCTGGGCTTTGTTCACCGTCATGGCGAAACCTGGCCGCACGGGGAACTGGCGACGCTCCCAGCGGAAGGGAAACGCGTCATCCGGGGGCTGGAGTGGGAGCCGTGGAATAAGCACTTGCCTTCCGGCGTTTTTGCCGCAGGCGATGGTGGCCTCCATGAGTCGCGGGCTGATGATACGACCAGCGATAAGTCGCGTGCCATTGCACAGTCCGTCAGTGGCGGACAGATTACGAAGTAGCATGAGTGGCATGCCTGGCTTGATCATCAAGCAGTGAGGTGGGAAGCCGGGAGCGCACAGAGTGTTTAGATACTCATGTGGAATATCCAGCTGCTCGGCCTCCTCCACCAGACTGTCGGCGCTCAGCAGGCGGACGGCCTCTCCGGGGAAGCGCTCGGTGACTGCGGCGTTCAGCTCGTCGACCCGAGTGTTTCGCGGCGCGAGCACAGCCCGCGACGCCATCCACTCCCGGTCGCCGTGTCGCCCTGCCAGGTCATCAAACACCCAGTCAATGACAGCGTCGATATCGGCGTCCATCACCAGGTGCGGGGGCAGCTGAACAAACCCATCCTCGGGGCCCTCTGCGCGTCCCTCTCCCAGCTCGAGCAGCCAGTCACAGAACGCCCGCAGCTCTGGACCGTCCGGCCCGGCTGCCCGCCGCGCCCGCATGTTCTCCAGCAGCGGCGCCACAATGAAGTGACGCCACAGCGCTGACCGTCGCAGACAGGCGTCCACCACCTGTGCGCGGGTACCGTGCCTGAAACGGACAATAATATGCATATAAAAACGCGCCGAGACGGCCACTAATGCTAAGAAATGGCTGCTTAGCCGGCGCCCTGGTGGGGGTCTAAGCCACAGGGGAAAAACTAAAGCATAAATTTTTTCGGGAACCGTTTTTCTGCGAAACTTTTTCATCAAGGTTGTATTGTCGATTTTATCAGCGACGCATTCCGCTCGTTGAGACGCGTCAAATGAAGCATAATCTCACCTCAAAAGACCGACTACAAAATCTGACCTAGGGTCGAGGTCGTGACCCTACCGGTAAAGGTCATGTGTCATAATAACTGTCAATTTGTATCGTTTAACTGAATCCATCTGACTAACGTGTTTGCATCGCTCTAACATGTTTACTTAAAGTTATCGCAAAAACTGCTGGATGACCCGTCTTAATCTTAATCTGGAAACCTGTTGACCTTATGTGACCGGATGTAAGAAATAACTCACACGATGCACAATGGATTTATTTTCGGCCATAGCAAATTTAGCCCATATTTCTTTACTGGGCTCACTGTGTGGGCGAGTGTGAGTGTAAACTGGCGAGTGTGGTCAAAAAGCCCCTCCCACCAGGGCGAAGCCAAAGAAACCACAAAGCATGCGGTCTACGATCAATCCGCTGCGGCAGTGTGTTTACGACGCTGGCATCGATATAAATGAGTGAATACGTTTTGAAGGCATAGCGGTTGAATGTTCATGGCTCCGACTTATTTCACATGTTAAACTGCAATAATGCGATTGGGCCGAAGAGCATTATATCAGTTGCATTCAATTACACACTAATAATAACAAACGTACCACAGCTATTATAATTGTATATACATTTTTTTTCTCATACACACTGAACGCCTGTTGTTGTTAGTTACCTGATGACTGGGAGAATTTGGCGGAAATCCCCGCCCAGCACGAGGACTTTTCCGCCGAACGGCTCCTCGCTGCCAGTGACGTCACGCAGCGTGCGGTCGAACGCCTCCAGGTGGTGACGGTGGGCCATGGGGGCCTCGTCCCACACGATGAGCGCCGTCCGTCGGATGAGCTCCGCCAGCGGGCTCTGCGCGCTGATGGCGCACGTTGATGTCGCGTCCACCTGCAGCGGTGCCTTGAAACGCGAGTGGTATGTGCGCCCGCCGTCCAGCAGAGTGGCAGCAATTCCACTGAAGGCCACTGCGAGCGCTACCATACCCTGCGAGCGCACCGCCGCCAGCAGCGTGTTGAAGACGTACGTCTTTCCGGTGCCACCAGCGGCGTCCACGAACACGGCCAGCGGACGCCGCCCGTCGACGGCCGTCATTACCAGGTCGAAGACGTGGCGCTGCGGCGGCAGCAGAGTGGGCAGCTGGATGGCCACCTGGTCTCTGAGCGCTGCTGCGTCATATTCCAGCTCCTCTTGAATGAGCCGCGGCAGCTGGCGCAGCTCGGCGGCCTGCTGCAGCTCAGCTGCCCGCGCCCGCTGATCGGGCGTCACCTCCGGCAGACCGAAGTCTCGGAGCTCTTTGCCGGCCTGCTGTAGCTGCCGCTCCAGGTCCACCAGTGTTAGTGCAGCGCGCAGCTCGTCCGGCAGGTCGCGATGACGACGGCCGAAGTCATCAGACATGGCGTCCAGGTGACGCCGGAACAGCTCTGACGGATCGGCTGGTGCGCAGAAGAGCAGCAGCGTCACGAAGAGGCGCCGGATTTGAGCCGGCATCTGTGCGTGCGCCGCGTCCTCCATCGTCACCTCCCACTCGCGGTCGTCCTGCAGAAGGCCACGCAGGCAGCACGCCTCACGATAGGTGGCACAGACCACGCCGTCCACGGTGCGCAGCTCCTCAAAGGACGCCGCCCCCGCGACGTGGTGCAGCAGCACGCGGAGGTAGAACACGTCGCCGTGACGTGGTGAGAGGCTCACCACGCGGCCGATTGCCTCTGCCGCCTGCTGTTGGCGCCGTTTGCGCCACACCTTCTGGCCGGCCTGCCAGGTATACCGCGACGGGAAGTCCGGGTAGAGCAGTCGGCGGCAGTCCGGGTCGGCGGCGGCCGACTCCCGGTTATACTCCAGCCAGGCGGTGAGATGGGTGCGTCGGGCGGCCTGAGCCGCCTGCCGCTCCTGTCCCGGCTCGAAGTACACCAGCTGGTGATCCTCGAGGTGCACCTGTAGAGCGACCACGTTCGGCTGCCGCTGGCTCATCGGCATGTCGAACAGACGCCAGCAGGCTTCACTGGCACCGATCGAGCGCATGTCCTGGTACTCTGCGATCTCGTCATCGCCGCCGATCAGGTTGTCAGCGCGCACCATCTGGCGGTCCGGGCCCTTGTAGATGTACCTGAAAAGATACTTGACACTCTGCACCGAACAGCACACCTCCACGTTCACGTGAGCCTCATATTTCAGGGACAGGTATGGAGAGAAGGGTACCACCCACTGGTTGGTGATGAGCCGCCCGTCACGCACAAACTCCTGGCCGCCCTCGGCTGCCGGTCGCCGCCTGTAGACAGGGTACGGATGGTCATCCCGCCACTCTGTCTCGTTGGCGAACGGCTTGGGAAAGCCCTTGGAGCAGCGGCCGCCATCCATGCAGGCGGCCGTCGGGTTGGCGGCGCCGCACTGGCGGTGTACCATGGTACTCACCACGATCTCGTGCAGGCGGCGCGCCTGGTCTGACCTGGCTGGGTCGGGCAGTTCCGCCGTGATCACCGCGTCTACATCGTCGGCAGTCCGCGGGCGGTCCTCCTGCCGGACGATGACCAGGATATGGCCGTGCGGCAGACCTGCAGGGAAAGTAAATAATGTTTTAAGCGGCGATTGAGATAGAATAGGACCTTAAAAAATTGACTTCAGGTCAAAGTCATGTGGTGACTTTTTATGAACCAACATGACCTTTCGGGCCACTGCTGGCCATAAGCTGCACTTTGCTCATTGCAACTGGGCAGATGTTGCGATTCTGAAAAAAAATCTTGCGGTTTAGACTTGTAAGTTCGACCTGACCTAAGTGACCTGAGCGCTAAAATTATGCACACGACGTAAAATTGATGCATGATGAGCTGTATTGGTTTTCTTCACACTCCCTCCTCCCCCCCCCCCACACACACACGAACACAAACCTTTAGTGCCTACTCACCTCGTTTTTGGAACTCGACCACCATCAGCATGGAGACACAGCGTCCGAAGATGCCGCTGGTGGTGAGCTCCTTCAGCAGGGCCTTCAGCTTTAGGTGGAACACCCTGGCCACCAGATCGGGGCGGGACTGCGCATCCTGGCCGGGCAGGAGCGCCGCCTGGATCTCAGGCCAGTTTGGGTTGCAGGTGAACGTCACGAAGTACGTCGGCCTGCCGTACACTCGCACGATGGCCATGGCGTCTTGGTACCTGATTCATTGAGACAAAGGTAAAACACCAAATGAGGAAATGAAGTATCGCAAAAATCCTATCTAAAGGCTGACATATACACCTATCACAACGCGACCAATTGGTTGGGGGGAGAGAGAGAGGGGGGATGAGATTGTGTGGCTCTTTGGAATTGTGGCCTTTCGTGACCTCACGACACAAATGTGACGTCATCAGTATTCAAAATAGAGCCCTTCCGTTCTCGAGAGCCCAGAATATCCGTAGTTACATGAACACGGTCATATCATGAAAATTTCATGACCCTGACCCAAATGACCTTTGACCTGTGACCTACTTTTCGAGACCATGTTTGGCCGGAATCGCGATTCGGAGTATGTCGGCTCGCATTAGCCGCGCGTTTGCAGTCTTTTCGTGGTTTCAAGCGTTCAAACAATGTGATATGATGTTGGTCCCAGGCATTAGGGTGGGTATCAAAGTCACCTGAAGGTCAGGTCAGGTCATTGACCTTTGATGACCTCGGCTCACTTTTCGAGTTTTACATGTTTCGAGGCTAGCTATTCTTTGGAGCTGAATTCGAATTTAGCGACCATTTGAACATGTACGAAGTAGTTTTGGTGCCTTCGGATTTCGGAACATGTTATGAAGCTGACAGAGACGGTTGACACCTACCGCGAATACCCGGCAGAACACCTACTGGTTGACCTGACCTGACCTGACCCGACCTGACCTTAATGCATGAAGACATCATTGCGATCAAAACTAATATGATATTCGAGATAACCACCCCGGAAAACCCCATAACAGCCACACTTTACGACGTTCTAACAGGTCCCGGTTTTCCCGACTTTTGGGTAATTGAACTGACCTCAGAGGTCACCATTTGACCTATGACCTTAAAACCGGGTACCGTTGGCTTCGTCTCGTAACGACCTACACGATGTTTTTTTCGGCGAGGCTCTATTTGTAACTAAAGTCATTTGACATGACCTGGTGACCTGACCTTGAGTGATCTTGGTATGCAATTTTCACAACACATGCAGAATAGATGCATTATGATGTGTACCAAAAACGGTGGCAACAATTTTTGAGATATTCACGAAAAACCCCAGCGGGGCGGGGGGGGGGGCTGTTCAAAATCACACTTTCCCCCCCCCCCCCAACAGGGCACGGGTTAAACATTTGATTCAACAACCGATTTCTACATAATAAGCAATGTAACGCGCTCGTAAATAATTCACCTGCGCTGGTAGTACCGGGGCCCGCCGGTGAAGGAAGCCGGCAGGATGACACGCTGACCGACGCGGTCTCCGCCGGCCAGCTCCCTTTCGGCGTCCCCCGGCAGCGCGTCCTGGAGGCGCTGGTACAGCTCGGCACGCAGGCCGGCCTGGTTCCGAGCCAGGTACAGCAGACGCTGGGTCTCTACGCGCGCAAAAGCCATGCACACGTACTCCTGAAACAGGCGTCCTGCGCGGAACAGTGAGTCATCGAGGTCGGGTCGCAGCTGCAGCCGATGAGCGTAGTACTGCATCAGCGACACGCCCCTCACGTCCCCGCGCCCGTTTGCCACCGCCTGCCGTAGGTCGGGCTGCCAGCCGTCTGTGCCAAACGGCAGAAGGAGCACAAAGTGCAGAGCCTCAAACGCCCGGTGCGTCTCATTTACCGTCTGGAGGAACGGACCTTCGGCATCGGCACGGCGACGCAGCACGATGTCCTGATGGACGGGCTCCTCGTCCATCAGCACGGCCACCTCCCGGAACCCCTCGGCGCGGTTGTACCGTCGGGGGTGCTGGTCGGCCGGGCGGGCGTCGGCACTTACCACCAGTCTCTGCTGCTGAACCTCCTCCTCCGGCAGCTCGGCGGCGTGGATAAAGTCCTGCACATAGGGATTTACCTGACGCAGCAGGACCTGCAGCTGTTCGAGCAGCGTCAGCAGGCGCGCCCGCTCCGGCTCCCGGGTGCCGCGGGGCAGCGGCACGTGTCCTAGACGCAGCGCGGCCTCGGCCGCCGGGTCGTCACAGTCCGGGTCATTCACATAAATCTGGGCGAACGACGGCCGCTCCCCGTCTCTGGCCTGCAGCGGACCGACGCGGTGGTACAACCTACCTTGAATGATCACTGATGGTGCATACCCACCGTCCGCCGGCCTCACCTCCCGTGTCATCATAGACGCCAGCGACAGCGCCGTGTTCAGGCGCCGGGAGTGCTGTCTGAATGTGCGTGCCTCCAGCGTGTCGCCCGTCCACAGTTCACGGAGCAGCGGTGGCGGGGCGGGCAGGGGATCTAGGTTTACCTTTCCCCCCGAACAGCACAGAGTGGCCCGCTCCTCTCGCCAGAGGAGGGCGCCGCAGTGCGGACATACCGTGTCGCGTGCCCCCGTGTCGAGCCTGGCCACCGGCTGGCGACCGGACAGCACAGAGTCGGCGTCACAGGCGGCTCGATTGGCCCGGTCGACTCTGCGGCGCCCCTCCATGTGGCCCCTCGCGTCGGCCGCCCGTTCCGCGTCACGTACCTCGTTGGGCATGTCAGCCCGTCGCTGTCGCTGCCTCTCGGCCTCTGCCAGGCGCCCAGCGTCATCGAGGGCGGCACGCCGCTGTCGCTGCCTTTCAGCGTCCGCTTCTCTCTCGGCGTCATCCATGACAGCCCTTCGCTGTCGCTGCCGTTCAGCGTGCGCTTCTCTCTCAGCGTCATCCATGGCGGCCCGCCGCTGTCGCTGCCGTTCGGCGTCCGCTTCTCTTTGTGCCTCATCGAAGGCCGCCCGTCGCTGTCTTTCCCGCTCGGCGTTACGGAGCGCCTCGGCCTCCCTCCTGGCCTGAGCCATCCGTTCACGCCGCCGGCGCTGGGCCGCGGCATTTGCCGCCCGAGCAGCACTGCCACGGTCATGACGCGGCATGGCTGTCTAAGTTAGCTGGGTAAAAGTGCAGACAGTAGATGATGCTTTTGGACAACTTATGAGTAATCAAGCTAACGGCAGGTATGGTATCTACCCGAATGACTCGAATTACTCAATCAAATAACTCCTCGCAAAGTTTCAATGATCAGCCGTTGAGCAAGGAAATTCACATCAGGGCTTACTGAGACAATCAAGTGAGCGCAGATCATACGCACAAATAGGCGCAAAATTTCACTCAAACGATCGCCTCTCGAAAAGTCAATAGTCATCCCAACAGCGAAACATATTACTCGAGCCTGTGGTGCATTCACTCACAGACTGCTCTTGCTGAAATTGTTTACCATTGTTGCGTGTCCCGTTGCTATGCGACAAATCAAGGTCGTGGCTAAAAAGGGAACTAAAATTTTGATCAAGTTTTCATAAATAAATCTCTCACGCTATGCAAATAAAATTTTAGCTTGAAGTGTACCTACTTAAATATCTAAAATGTTATATAAGGAATCATATGAGTTATATGCGTAAAACACTTGCTCTCTCCATATTAAAATTTCCGTCATATCGTTACCGAGATCTGAGTTACTCCGGTATTGGAGCTCAATCAGGTCAGTCCGCTCTGGCGCGATCGGTAGCGCATCCGGCTTTAAGCTCTTAGGTCCCGGGTTCGATTCCCGGGCGGGCTGTGGTACTTTTCTTTAGACGCAATCAATTAAAACCTTCGTAAACAGCGTGACGCTAGCGAAACACGGTCGTATGCTTGAGTCATTTTCACATAAGTTTTTTGACTTTTCGATAATATTTTGGTGTGGATATTGGTCAGAAAAGAATGCTCTTTCCGAATATGTAGGTTTCATAGCGATTGATCAGCGTTTTCAATACGTTTTGATGTTGTAAAGGACATCGCGCTTCGCGCGAAAAAATTTTTAATTTAATTTTTCAATATTAAAGAAATGGTACGGATCGTCACTTTTTATTTGCTTTCCTATTATTACACGTACATTTGTCTGCAAAATGATACAACACCGATTCATTCCGTCAAGCCGTTTCCAGCGATCGGTTTTCTTCCCACAATGCATGAAATCGGTCATTTTTTAACAACCGGGGGTGCTATCTTGCACGTGGCGCGTGCTATACTATGAAACCATATCAATACGCTAGGCCCATCTCTCCCATGGTGGCAACCGCATGTCTCTACGACCTCGTTTCGCGAGTAATAAGCTCGGGAAAGGAGCGCTGCAGGCCCAATTTTGTCCGATCTGCATGTCAGCCAGCCCCGTGTTAACCGTATGAGAGCACCCTTTTGCACGTGCTGACGGCGCACCCCTGGTGCGATCAGGGGTGCGCCGTATCGCCCAAACATGGCCTAGATGGCCATGTTTGGGCGATAACTGTATAGATTCGATAGATATTGTTAATGGGGCATTAGTTTGGGTGTATGAGGTTATATTTTTATTTGTATGAGCTAGGTGAAGTTTGACATTTGGTTTTAACTGAACTGTATGGTATGCTGGTGCTGATTACCCGGGTTGTTTAGTCTTTCGGATGTTGGGCCCTTATGCACTCAAACTTAACATAACCTACAAATATACATACCCTACCTCTACCCTACCCTACCCTACCCTACCTACCCTACCCTACCCTACTACCCTACCCTACCCTACCCTACCCTACCCTACCTACCCTACCCTACCTACCTACCCTACCCTACCCTACCCACCACACCCTATTACTCATAACCTACACGTAGTTACCCTTCTCATACTCGATTAAAGTAACGTACCAAATTTGAGCGCGATCGGCCCAGCCGTTCTTGAGATATCAAACTGGCCCACTGCACGTGCGCACGCGCTGAGACTCCAGATGACTTGTGCCAGCCACCTTTCTAAACTGTTCCTATCAGTATACAAAATTGAGAGAAATCGGCCCAGCCGTTCTTGAGATGTAGAAGCGGACCCCTCACGTGCGCACGTGCAATCGATCCACCCTACCTGTCACACATGACCATGCATCGCCAGATGAGTGCCCCTCCACCCACAGTCCAAGTTTCAGCGCAATCGGCCCAGTAGCAGCTGAGTTATTCCTAGTACAAAAATGTGCTGTTTACTGGTAGGCGCTTATTTTCAGTTTGGGATTCCCTTGGCGGGCGGTGCATGCCCATGCTTTGATAGCTATTGTCAAAAGTTGAATGACTTGCCGGCCATAGCCATCGATCGGATTTTGTCGAAAAATACCGGTAACGTTAACAAAACACGGTCACATGCTTGAGTCATTTTCACAAAAGTTTATGACTTTTCGATAAATTTTGGGTGGATATTGGTCAGAAAAGAATGCTCTTTCCGAATGTAGGTTCATACGATTGATCAGCGTTTTCAATACGTTTTGATGTTGTACAGGACGTCGCGCTACGCGCGAATCAAATTTTCAAATTAATTTTTCATTATTAAGGAAATGGTACGGATCATCAGTTTTTGTTTGCTATTCTCTGATTACACATACATTTGTCTACAAAATGATACAACACCGATTTCATTCCGTCAAGCCGTTTTCCAGCAGCATCGATTTTCTCTCCACAATGCACGAAATCGGTCATTTTTTCACAACCGTGGGTTTTACCTTGCACGTGTCGCGTGCTGTACTATGAAACCATGTCAATACGCTAGTTCCATCTCTCCTCTATCCAGTGGTGAAAACCGCTTCTCGCTGCGCCCACCCGTTGCCGACTTATACAGCCGGGAAGCAGGCGCCGCAGGCCGGTTTTCGTACGATGTTCGTTTTGACCGTTTCCCGTGTTAACCCTATGGCGCACGCGAGCGCGTGCTGACGGCGCACCCCTGGTCCGATCACGCCCAAATTTTAATACAAAGGCCGCCCACGCCCACAGATTCGACATGCCAAATTTCACGTCGCTACGCGGCGCCTTGCAGGCGCAATAAGACACATAAGTCATGACACACGGATGCACGTCGTACAGACATGTTATAATCATAATATAGACTAGATGGCCATGTTTGCGCGATAACTGTATAGATTCGATAGATATTGTTAATGGGGGCATTAGTTTGGGTGTATGAGGTTATATTTTTATTTGTATGAGCTATGTGAAGTTTGACATTTGGTTTTAATTGAACTGTATGGTATGCTGGTGCTGATTACCGGGTTGTTTGAGTCTTTCGGATGTTGGGCCCTTATGCACTCAAATTTAACATACACTACAATACCCTGCCCTACCCAGGATGGATGGATGGATGAACGCGATAACTGTACGTTTCGATGGCTATTGTTCAATGGGGCCATTAGTTTGATGTATAATATTTTTATTTGTATGAGTTAGGTGAAATTTGATTCTTTAAACTGTATGGTATGCTGGTGCTGATTACGGGTTGTTTGAGTCCTTCGCATGCTGGCCCCTTATGCACTCAACCTTACCATACGCTACACTGCCCTACCCTACCCAGAAGCTCTACTCAACACATACCAAACCATACTTTATTTCTTGCCTTACCCGTAAGACGCTGGTTGTATCAGTCACCATCGCGACTAAGAAGATGCTGTCGGAGAATCCAGCGCAGCGCTCGTGCGTCCTCTTGTCTTCCTCCGGGCTGACACTAAGCCATGCCGTGATAAGGAGTGGAAGCAGCTGCAGTGCGCAGGTGACAGCACATGACATGTTTCTGCAACGTAATCAAATCTAGTGAATACAACAGTGAAATACTTACGTGTCGCTCCGTGTGGCTATTAGCTTTTACCCCGCAACCCGCCGCGTGGAGGCTGCCACATCGGGTTGCGTCTCTATTTAACGCCCGAGACCCCTCACCGGGTGCAGAGCGCACACCTCTGGTGAGGGAAGACACGGCGGCCGTGGGCAGCGGCAATAAGGCCCCCCGAAAGTACTCGGTGTGTGCTACTCGCAGCCGATCGTATAGCTGGAGGCAAACGCCCATTGTTAGATGTGATCTCAAATATCAAAATATATCATCAAATATCAAATATATCATCAGAGCATATCAAACATGTTTTATAACATGCCACTCGATACATTGATTTCCTCAAAATATAAGTTGCGCTCGCGCATTGGAGGTCACCAAAGCCAGTTGCGGCATTATGTTAATGTGTAAATTTTCCACTTGGCGGCGCATTGGCTCGCCAGGATTGATCCGTCCTGCATCACGGTCGGCCGGCCGTTTTCTCCTCGTTGCTCCTCGCTCCTCCTCTCCACGTTGCTCGTAGCGCTCTGGCTACCCGTCGCCTCTGCGACCCGCTGATCTACCGGCCATCACCTCGGCCCATCACCTCCGTGTACACCACATTGGGTGTTGCGCCTTGGCCACCTCTGGGCAGCGCGATCCTCAGATCCGCCGGCCGGCCGACCCGCGATGCAGCCACGTACAGCTGCCCGTGGCTGAATACTGGCTCCTCCAGAAAGACCGCGACCCGACCGAGCGTCTGCCCCTGGGCTTTGTTCACCGTCATGGCGAAACCTGGCCGCACGGGGAACTGGCGACGCTCCCAGCGGAAGGGAAACGCGTCATCCGGGGGCTGGAGTGGGAGCCGTGGAATAAGCACTTGCCTTCCGGCGTTTTTGCCGCAGGCGATGGTGGCCTCCATGAGTCGCGGGCTGATGATACGACCAGCGATAAGTCGCGTGCCATTGCACAGTCCGTCAGTGGCGGACAGATTACGAAGTAGCATGAGTGGCATGCCTGGCTTGATCATCAAGCAGTGAGGTGGGAAGCCGGGAGCGCACAGAGTGTTTAGATACTCATGTGGAATCCAGCTGCTCGGCCTCCTCCACCAGACTGTCGGCGCTCAGCAGGCGGACGGCCTCTCCGGGGAAGCGCTCGGTGACTGCGGCGTTCAGCTCGTCGACCCGAGTGTTTCGCGGCGCGAGCACAGCCCGCGACGCCATCCACTCCCGGTCGCCGTGTCGCCCTGCCAGGTCATCAAACACCCAGTCAATGACAGCGTCGATATCGGCGTCCATCACCAGGTGCGGGGGCAGCTGAACAAACCCATCCTCGGGGCCCTCTGCGCGTCCCTCTCCCAGCTCGAGCAGCCAGTCACAGAACGCCCGCAGCTCTGGACCGTCCGGCCCGGCTGCCCGCCGCGCCCGCATGTTCTCCAGCAGCGGCGCCACAATGAAGTGACGCCACAGCGCTGACCGTCGCAGACAGGCGTCCACCACCTGTGCGCGGGTACCGTGCCTGAAACGGACAATAATATGCATATAAAAACGCGCCGAGACGGCCACTAATGCTAAGAAATGGCTGCTTAGCCGGCGCCCTGGTGGGGGTCTAAGCCACAGGGGAAAAACTAAAGCATAAATTTTTTCGGGAACCGTTTTTCTGCGAAACTTTTCATCAAGGTTGTATTGTCGATTTTATCAGCGACGCATTCCGCTCGTTGAGACGCGTCAAATGAAGCATAATCTCACCTCAAAAGACCGACTACAAAATCTGACCTAGGGTCGAGGTCGTGACCCTACCGGTAAAGGTCATGTGTCATAATAACTGTCAATTTGTATCGTTTAACTGAATCCATCTGACTAACGTGTTTGCATCGCTCTAACATGTTTACTTAAAGTTATCGCAAAAACTGCTGGATGACCCGTCTTAATCTTAATCTGGAACCTGTTGACCTTATGTGACCGGATGTAAGAAATAACTCACACGATGCACAATGGATTTATTTTCGGCCATAGCAAATTTAGCCCATATTTCTTTACTGGGCTCACTGTGTGGGCGAGTGTGAGTGTAAACTGGCGAGTGTGGTCAAAAAGCCCCTCCCACCAGGGCGAAGCCAAAGAAACCACAAAGCATGCGGTCTACGATCAATCCGCTGCGGCAGTGTGTTTACGACGCTGGCATCGATATAAATGAGTGAATACGTTTTGAAGGCATAGCGGTTGAATGTTCATGGCTCCGACTTATTTCACATGTTAAACTGCAATAATGCGATTGGGCCGAAGAGCATTATATCAGTTGCATTCAATTACACACTAATAATAACAAACGTACCACAGCTATTATAATTGTATATACATTTTTTTCTCATACACACTGAACGCCTGTTGTTGTTAGTTACCTGATGACTGGGAGAATTTGGCGGAAATCCCCGCCCAGCACGAGGACTTTTCCGCCGAACGGCTCCTCGCTGCCAGTGACGTCACGCAGCGTGCGGTCGAACGCCTCCAGGTGGTGACGGTGGGCCATGGGGCCTCGTCCCACACGATGAGCGCCGTCCGTCGGATGAGCTCCGCCAGCGGGCTCTGCGCGCTGATGGCGCACGTTGATGTCGCGTCCACCTGCAGCGGTGCCTTGAAACGCGAGTGGTATGTGCGCCCGCCGTCCAGCAGAGTGGCAGCAATTCCACTGAAGGCCACTGCGAGCGCTACCATACCCTGCGAGCGCACCGCCGCCAGCAGCGTGTTGAAGACGTACGTCTTTCCGGTGCCACCAGCGGCGTCCACGAACACGGCCAGCGGACGCCGCCCGTCGACGGCCGTCATTACCAGGTCGAAGACGTGGCGCTGCGGCGGCAGCAGAGTGGGCAGCTGGATGGCCACCTGGTCTCTGAGCGCTGCTGCGTCATATTCCAGCTCCTCTTGAATGAGCCGCGGCAGCTGGCGCAGCTCGGCGGCCTGCTGCAGCTCAGCTGCCCGCGCCCGCTGATCGGGCGTCACCTCCGGCAGACCGAAGTCTCGGAGCTCTTTGCCGGCCTGCTGTAGCTGCCGCTCCAGGTCCACCAGTGTTAGTGCAGCGCGCAGCTCGTCCGGCAGGTCGCGATGACGACGGCCGAAGTCATCAGACATGGCGTCCAGGTGACGCCGGAACAGCTCTGACGGATCGGCTGGTGCGCAGAAGAGCAGCAGCGTCACGAAGAGGCGCCGGATTTGAGCCGGCATCTGTGCGTGCGCCGCGTCCTCCATCGTCACCTCCCACTCGCGGTCGTCCTGCAGAAGGCCACGCAGGCAGCACGCCTCACGATAGGTGGCACAGACCACGCCGTCCACGGTGCGCAGCTCCTCAAAGGACGCCGCCCCCGCGACGTGGTGCAGCAGCACGCGGAGGTAGAACACGTCGCCGTGACGTGGTGAGAGGCTCACCACGCGGCCGATTGCCTCTGCCGCCTGCTGTTGGCGCCGTTTGCGCCACACCTTCTGGCCGGCCTGCCAGGTATACCGCGACGGGAAGTCCGGGTAGAGCAGTCGGCGGCAGTCCGGGTCGGCGGCGGCCGACTCCCGGTTATACTCCAGCCAGGCGGTGAGATGGGTGCGTCGGGCGGCCTGAGCCGCCTGCCGCTCCTGTCCCGGCTCGAAGTACACCAGCTGGTGATCCTCGAGGTGCACCTGTAGAGCGACCACGTTCGGCTGCCGCTGGCTCATCGGCATGTCGAACAGACGCCAGCAGGCTTCACTGGCACCGATCGAGCGCATGTCCTGGTACTCTGCGATCTCGTCATCGCCGCCGATCAGGTTGTCAGCGCGCACCATCTGGCGGTCCGGGCCCTTGTAGATGTACCTGAAAAGATACTTGACACTCTGCACCGAACAGCACACCTCCACGTTCACGTGAGCCTCATATTTCAGGGACAGGTATGGAGAGAAGGGTACCACCCACTGGTTGGTGATGAGCCGCCCGTCACGCACAAACTCCTGGCCGCCCTCCTGCCGGTCGCCGCCTGTAGACAGGGTACGGATGGTCATCCCGCCACTCTGTCTCGTTGGCGAACGGCTTGGGAAAGCCCTTGGAGCAGCGGCCGCCATCCATGCAGGCGGCCGTCGGGTTGGCGGCGCCGCACTGGCGGTGTACCATGGTACTCACCACGATCTCGTGCAGGCGGCGCGCCTGGTCTGACCTGGCTGGGTCGGGCAGTTCCGCCGTGATCACCGCGTCTACATCGTCGGCAGTCCGCGGGCGGTCCTCCTGCCGGACGATGACCAGGATATGGCCGTGCGGCAGACCTGCAGGGAAAGTAAATAATGTTTTAAGCGGCGATTGAGATAGAATAGGACCTTAAAAAATTGACTTCAGGTCAAAGTCATGTGGTGACTTTTTATGAACCAACATGACCTTTCGGGCCACTGCTGGCCATAAGCTGCACTTTGCTCATTGCAACTGGGCAGATGTTGCGATTCTGAAAAAAAATCTTGCGGTTTAGACTTGTAAGTTCGACCTGACCTAAGTGACCTGAGCGCTAAAATTATGCACACGACGTAAAATTGATGCATGATGAGCTGTATTGGTTTTCTTCACACTCCCTCCTCCCCCCCCCCCCACACACACGAACACAAACCTTTAGTGCCTACTCACCTCGTTTTTGGAACTCGACCACCATCAGCATGGAGACACAGCGTCCGAAGATGCCGCTGGTGGTGAGCTCCTTCAGCAGGGCCTTCAGCTTTAGGTGGAACACCCTGGCCACCAGATCGGGGCGGGACTGCGCATCCTGGCCGGGCAGGAGCGCCGCCTGGATCTCAGGCCAGTTTGGGTTGCAGGTGAACGTCACGAAGTACGTCGGCCTGCCGTACACTCGCACGATGGCCATGGCGTCTTGGTACCTGATTCATTGAGACAAAGGTAAAACACCAAATGAGGAAATGAAGTATCGCAAAAATCCTATCTAAAGGCTGACATATACACCTATCACAACGCGACCAATTGGTTGGGGGAGAGAGAGAGGGGGGATGAGATTGTGTGGCTCTTTGGAATTGTGGCCTTTCGTGACCTCACGACACAAATGTGACGTCATCAGTATTCAAAATAGAGCCCTTCCGTTCTCGAGAGCCCAGAATATCCGTAGTTACATGAACACGGTCATATCATGAAAATTTCATGACCCTGACCCAAATGACCTTTGACCTGTGACCTACTTTTCGAGACCATGTTTGGCCGGAATCGCGATTCGGAGTATGTCGGCTCGCATTAGCCGCGCGTTTGCAGTCTTTTCGTGGTTTCAAGCGTTCAAACAATGTGATATGATGTTGGTCCCAGGCATTAGGGTGGGTATCAAAGTCACCTGAAGGTCAGGTCAGGTCATTGACCTTTGATGACCTCGGCTCACTTTTCGAGTTTTACATGTTTCGAGGCTAGCTATTCTTTGGAGCTGAATTCGAATTTAGCGACCATTTGAACATGTACGAAGTAGTTTTGGTGCCTTCGGATTTCGGAACATGTTATGAAGCTGACAGAGACGGTTGACACCTACCGCGAATACCCGGCAGAACACCTACTGGTTGACCTGACCTGACCTGACCCGACCTGACCTTAATGCATGAAGACATCATTGCGATCAAAACTAATATGATATTCGAGATAACCACCCCGGAAAACCCCATAACAGCCACACTTTACGACGTTCTAACAGGTCCCGGTTTTCCCGACTTTTGGGTAATTGAACTGACCTCAGAGGTCACCATTTGACCTATGACCTTAAAACCGGGTACCGTTGGCTTCGTCTCGTAACGACCTACACGATGTTTTTTTCGGCGAGGCTCTATTTGTAACTAAAGTCATTTGACATGACCTGGTGACCTGACCTTGAGTGATCTTGGTATGCAATTTTCACAACACATGCAGAATAGATGCATTATGATGTGTACCAAAAACGGTGGCAACAATTTTTGAGATATTCACGAAAAACCCCAGCGGGGCGGGGGGGGGGGCTGTTCAAATCACACTTTCCCCCCCCCCCCCACAGGCACGCCGGGATTTAAACATTTGATTCAACAACCGATTTCTACATAATAAGCAATGTAACGCGCTCGTAAATAATTCACCTGCGCTGTAGTACCGGGGCCCGCCGGTGAAGGAAGCCGAGGATGACACGCTGACCGACGCGGTCTCCGCCGGCCAGCTCCCTTTCGGCGTCCCCCGGCAGCGCGTCCTGGAGCGCTGGTACAGCTCGGCACGCAGGCCGGCTGGTTCCGAGCCAGGTACAGCAGACGCTGGGTCTCTACGCGCGCAAAAGCCATGCACACGTACTCCTGAAACAGGCGTCCTGCGCGGAACAGTGAGTCATCGAGGTCGGGTCGCAGCTGCAGCCGATGAGCGTAGTACTGCATCAGCGACACGCCCCTCACGTCCCCGCGCCCGTTTGCCACCGCCTGCCGTAGGTCGGGCTGCCAGCCGTCTGTGCCAAACGGCAGAAGGAGCACAAAGTGCAGAGCCTCAAACGCCCGGTGCGTCTCATTTACCGTCTGGAGGAACGGACCTTCGGCATCGGCACGGCGACGCAGCACGATGTCCTGATGGACGGGCTCCTCGTCCATCAGCACGGCCACCTCCCGGAACCCCTCGGCGCGGTTGTACCGTCGGGGGTGCTGGTCGGCCGGCGGGCGTCGGCACTTACCACCAGTCTCTGCTGCTGAACCTCCTCCTCCGGCAGCTCGGCGGCGTGGATAAAGTCCTGCACATAGGGATTTACCTGACGCAGCAGGACCTGCAGCTGTTCGAGCAGCGTCAGCAGGCGCGCCCGCTCCGGCTCCCGGTGCCGCGGGGCAGCGGCACGTGTCCTAGACGCAGCGCGGCCTCGGCCGCCGGTCGTCACAGTCCGGGTCATTCACATAAATCTGGGCGAACGACGGCCGCTCCCCGTCTCTGGCCTGCAGCGGACCGACGCGGTGGTACAACCTACCTTGAATGATCACTGATGGTGCATACCCACCGTCCGCCGCCGCCTCACCCTCCCGTGTCATCATAGACGCCAGCGACAGCGCCGTGTTCAGCGCCGGAGTGCTGTCTGAATGTGCGTGCCTCCAGCGTGTCGCCCGTCCACAGTTCACGGAGCAGCGGTGGCGGGCGGGCAGGGGATCTAGGTTTACCTTTCCCCCCGAACAGCACAGAGTGGCCCGCTCCTCTCGCCAGAGGAGGCGCCGCAGTGCGGACATACCGTGTCGCGTGCCCCCGTGTCGAGCCTGGCCACCGGCTGGCGACCGGACAGCACAGAGTCGGCGTCACAGGCGGCTCGATTGGCCCGGTCGACTCTGCGGCGCCCCTCCATGTGGCCCCTCGCGTCGGCCGCCCGTTCCGCGTCACGTACCTCGTTGGCATGTCAGCCCGTCGCTGTCGCTGCCTCTCGGCCTCTGCCAGGCGCCCAGCGTCATCGAGGGCGGCACGCCGCGCGCTGCCTTTCAGCGTCCGCTTCTCTCTCGGCGTCATCCATGACAGCCCTTCGCTGTCGCTGCCGTTCAGCGTGCGCTTCTCTCTCAGCGTCATCCATGGCGGCCCGCCGCTGTCGCTGCCGTTCGGCGTCCGCTTCTCTTTGTGCCTCATCGAAGGCCGCCCGTCGCTGTCTTTCCCGCTCGGCGTTACGGAGCGCCTCGGCCTCCCTCCTGGCCTGAGCCATCCGTTCACGCCGCCGGCGCTGGGCCGCGGCATTTGCCGCCCGACAGCACGCCACGGTCATGACGCGGCATGGCTGTCTAAGTTAGCTGGGTAAAAGTGCAGACAGTAGATTGCTTTTGGACAACTTATGAGTAATCAAGCTAACGGCAGGTATGGTATCTACCCGAATGACTCGAATTACTCATCAAATAACTCCTCGCAAAGTTTCAATGATCAGCCGTTGAGCAAGGAAATTCACATCAGGGCTTACTGAGACAATCAAGTGAGCGCAGATCATACGCACAAATAGGCCAAAATTTCACTCAAACGATCGCCTCTCGAAAAGTCAATAGTCATCCCACAGCGAAACATATTACTCGAGCCTGTGGTGCATTCACTCACAGACTGCTCTTGCTGAAATTGTTTTACCATTGTTGCGTGTCCCGTTGCTATGCGACAAATCAAGGTCGTGGCTAAAAAGGGAACTAAAATTTTGATCAAGTTTTCATAAATAATCTCTCACGCTATGCAAATAAAATTTTAGCTTGAAGTGTACCTACTTAAATATCTAAAATGTTATATAAGGAATCATATGAGTTATATGCGTAAAACACTTGCTCTCTCCATATTAAAATTTCCGTCATATCGTTACCGAGATCTGAGTTACTCCGATTGGAGCTCAATCAGTGTCAGTCCGCTCTGGCGCGATCGGTAGCGCATCCGGCTTTAAGCTCTTAGGTCCCGGGTTCGATTCCCGGGCTGTCTGTGGTACTTTTCTTTATCGACGCAATCAATTAAATTCCTTCGTAAACAGCGTGACGCTAGCGAAACACGGTCGTATGCTTGAGTCATTTTTCACATAAGTTTTTTGACTTTTCGATAATATTTTGGGTGGATATTGGTCAGAAAAGAATGCTCTTTCCGAATATGTAGGTTTCATAGCGATTGATCAGCGTTTTCAATACGTTTTGATGTTGTAAAGGACATCGCGCTTCGCGCGAAATAATTTTTAATTTAATTTTTCAATATTAAAGAAATGGTACGGATCGTCACTTTTTATTTGCTTTCCTATTATTACACGTACATTTGTCTGCAAAATGATACAACCCGATTTCATTCCGTCAAGCCGTTTTCCCCAGCGACATCGTTTTCTTCCCACAATGCATGAATCGGTCATTTTTTAACAACCGGGGTGCTATCTTGCACGTGGCGCGTGCTATACTATGAAACCATATCAATACGCTAGGCCCATCTCTCCTCTATCCAGTGGTGGCAACCGCATGTCTCTACGACCTCGTTTCGCCGAGTAATAAGCTCGGGAAAGAGCGCTGCAGGCCCAATTTTCGTCCGATCTGCATGTCAGCCCCCCGTGTTAACCGTATGAGAGCACCCTTTTGCACGTGCTGACGGCGCACCCCGGTGCGATCAGGGTGCGCCGTATCGCCCAAACATGGCCTAGATGGCCATGTTTGGGCGATAACTGTATAGATTCGATAGATATTGTTAATGGGGCATTAGTTTGGGTGTATGAGGTTATATTTTTATTTGTATGAGCTAGGTGAAGTTTGACATTTGGTTTTAACTGAACTGTATGGTATGCTGTGCTGATTACCCGGGGTTGTTTTAGTCTTTCGGATGTTGGCCCTTATGCACTCAAACTTAACATAACCTACAATATACATACCCTACCTCTACCCTACCCTACCCTACCCTACCCTACCCTACCCTACCCTACCCTACCCTACCCTACCCTACCCTACCCTACCCTACCCCTAACCCTACCCTACCCTACCCTACCCTACCTACCCTACCCTACCCTACCCACACCCTACCTTACTCATAACCTACACGTAGTTACCCTTCTCATACTCGATTAAAGTACGTACCAAATTTGAGCGCGATCGGCCCAGCCGTTCTTGAGATATCAACTGGCCCACTGCACGTGCGCACGCGCTGAGACTCCAGATGACTTGTGCCAGCCACCTTTCTAAACTGTTCCTATCAGTATACAAAATTTGAGAGAAATCGGCCCAGCCGTTCTTGAGATGTAGAAGCGGACCCCTCACGTGCGCACGTGCAATCGATCCACCCTACCTGTCACACATGACCATAGCATCGCCAGATGAGTGCCCCCTCCACCCACAGTCCCAAGTTTCAGCGCAATCGGCCAGTAGCAGCTGATTATTCCTAGTACAAAAATGTGCTGTTTACTGGTAGGCGCTTATTTTCAGTGTTTGGGATTCCCCTT